TGTCCTGAGAGGGTCAGAGCTTACGATGCAGGCCCGCCCTTCTTCCCACCTTCTTCCACAGCTGTTCTCTTTCCTCCCTCCCGACACCCTATATTGTCCCTTCCTCTTTCTCTCCTACTTGGTAGGAACTGGCCACCAGGAAACTCTGAGGCTTCCTGGCTATGTGACTTAGGACAAGTGACTTGACTTCTCTGAGTCTCCGTTGTCTTTTCTGTAGAATTGGGCTGATATGACCTATTGAAAGGATGATGTGAGGCTCCAGATGGCCTAGCATGGTCAGTGCCTGGCAGGTGGTGGGGACTGGGCAAGAATCAGCCCCTCTTGTTGGCAGTGGCCTGGCCCTCTGTCCACAGTGTAAGCTCCCCAGCTGAGCTGGCTCACCCATTGACCGGTGGAGGGGTGTGGGGCGATTTTGGGCTGGGGCTGGCTGAGGAGGCAGCAAAAGGTTATGGATGCCCTGAGGCCCTGGTCACGGTCGCTGGCACCTTGCCCTTGGCACTGTCATTTGGTGTCGTTTCTCCTGCTGGGAAGGGCACACGCCGTGGCTGGGGGGCTCGGCTGGGAAGTAGGCCCAGCTCCTCTGGAGGGCTGCTTTCCTGTCTCCACGCAATGGGAGGGGTGCGGCACGGTGCCGGAGGGCTTTCCGGCCAGGCCGCCCGGGCGCGAGGCAGGAACAGCACCATGTGACGGAGGCTCTCGTGCCCTCTCCACCTGCCACTCAGTTCTCCAGACTCCAGGCTTTAAAGTGGAGGGAAATAAAGTCAGACTCACGATTTACAGGTCTGCCGAGAGGAGCGAATGAGCCGGTGTATAGGACAGCACACTGGCCACTGTCACTCACACTCCTGAGGTTAGAACAAAGCAACTCTATTATTATTACAATATGTTATGATTCGATAGAATATATTTAATATATTATACAATACTAATATTGTTGTTATCTGTTAGTATTAATTATTATTACCAGTGCCAGCCCACGAGGTGGGGAGCATGGCCTCAGCCCCTCGCAGGCAAGAGAGGCCCTGGCTTTGCACCTGTTCCTGCCACACGGCAGCTGTGGGACGTGGACAAGTGGCTTCCCTCTCTCAGCCTCATTTTCCAGAGTCTTCATCTGGGAAAGGAGAGGACTCTCTTCCTGGGTTCCTACGAGGGCCCTCCGAGGTCACACACATGAGGGGTCTGGCCAGGTCTAGCCTCAGAGATGGTGGCTGTTCTAGGCGCCTCCATGTTGGGCACCTGGGCCCGGGCACTTAGGTTCCCTGGGCCTCAGCTTGCCCCTCTGTGTAGTGAAGACGGGTCCCACCCACTGCTACACGTCGTCGGGAGGGTGGAAGAAGATGAACCACGTGACCCACCTGGCATGCGTGCTGATAGAAAGTATCATTGAGCCACGACTGTGTTTCTGTGCTGGTAGGATGAGAACCTGCGCCCAGTGCCAGGCCTCCTGCCCAGGGCTCCTCCTCCTTGCCCACGATAGAATTGTACAGATGCGAGCAGGGTGACCTTCATCAAGCCAGGATTGCATTTCCAGTGTCTTTGGAGCATGAGGTGCGTGGGATGGCTATGTGGCAGCTGCTACCAGCTCCCTGAAGGGAAGGGGGCTGAATCTCCAGGAAGCCACGGTAGGGGCTGGGCCTTGGCGGCTGGGCTAGGCACTTTGGTCTCCTCCTGCCCCATAGCCCCGAGGCAGGAGGCTCCGTGGGATTATGGCCTCCGTGGGATTATGTCTGCTCACACAGTGTCAGAGGCAACAGAATGCCCACAACACAGCAAAAAGCAGTAGCGTTTTCCATTGCAATAAAAAAATGGGAAAAATCAGTAAAATATAAATTAAGTACCCCAAATCCCAAACTTCCAGGTGTTTTTTGTGCATATGTAGATTTTTTTTACAAGAATGGAATCCTGTGATACTTGCTTTTAAAATATTGAAATGAGTATACTTTATTCTTAAATCATTTTAATGATAAAATATAGCACATATGGAAAGAACATATAAAATAATCATCCAACTTGATGAATTATTATAAGGCAAACGCCCTCGGAACCACCCCCTGGGTGAAGACACAGAACTTGGCCAGCCACCCCAGAAGCCCGAGTGCCCCGTCTCAATCACAACTCCCTGCTGCCCCCCAAAAGGTATCCTGACTTTTAAGTTAATCACTTCTTGCTTGTTATCACCCAGTGTGCATCCTTAGATGTTGTAATTTTGTCTTCTTATAAAAAAAAAGTCTCTTAAGTACCTTTTAATCTACAGGCCTATTTTTTTAACCTGTCTTTTTTTACTGTTGTTGGTTTGACTTGGCAGTACATCTTGCGCTCCATCCATGTTAGTAAATGTGACTCTCCATCATTTTTTCTTTTTGGAGGTCTTGCTATGTTGTCCAGGCTGGACTTGAACTCCTAAGCTCAAGCGATCCTCCCACCTCAGCCTCCCGAGTAGCTGAGGGTGCAGGCCGGAGCCACCACACCTGGCTTCATCGTTTTTAATGACTCCAGTGTTCTGTCGCAGGGGTGGACATGGCTGACTCATTCCCCTGCAGTTCGTTTTCGTGCTTTTGCGGTTACAAACAATACTGCGATGAAAATCTTTATACATATGTCCTCGTGCACTTGAATGATTTCTAAAAGAAATTCTAGAGGTGGAGTCATAGGTCCAAAGGACAGGCTTTTTTTTTTTAAATAATAGCTTTATTGAGATATAACTCACATACCATGTCATTCATATTTGAAGTTTACAATTCAAGGTTTTCAGATGTTCACAGAGTTGCGCAGCCATCACCACAGTCAACTTTGGGACGATGTCCTCACTCCCCAAAGAACCTCGTACCCATTTCTCCTCAGCCCCCTCCCCCAGCCCTAGGCAACCACTAATCTGCTTTCTGTCTCTGTGGATTTGCCTATTCTAGACATTTCTTGTAAATGAAATCATAAAATATGTGATCTTTTGTGATTTACTTTTTTCAGTGAGCATGATGTTGTTAAGGTTCATCCACATTATAGCAAGTATCAGCACTTCAGTCCTTTTTGTTGTTAAATAAATAATATTCCCTTATATGAATATACCACCTTTTATTTATCCATTCATCGGCTGATGGACATTTGGGTTTTTTCTGGGTTTTTTTTTTTTTTTTTTTTTTTGCTATTGTGAATAATGTTGCTATGAAGTCATGTAAGTTCTTATGTGAATTTATGTTCCCACTTCTCTTGGATATATACCTTCTAGGTGCAGAATTGCAGAATCATATATGGTAATTCTATGTGTTACCTTTTGAACTGCCAGACTGTTTTCCAAAACACCTGCACCATTTTGCATTCTTACCAGCAGGGTATGAGGGTTCTGATCTCTCCGTATTCCTGCCAACACACGTTATTATCTTTTTGATTGTAACTAACCTAGTGAATGGGAAGTGGTATCTCATTGTGGTTTTGATTTACATTTCCCTAACTACTAATGATGTTAAGCTTCTTTTCATGTGCTTGTTGGTTATTTGTATATCTTCTTTAGAGAAATCTGTATTCAAATCCTATGCCCATTTTAAAATGGGGTTATTTGTCTTTTATTATTGAATTGTAAGAGTTTGCATATAGTCTGGTTACAATCCCTTATCAGATTTATGATTGTCACTTCTTTTCTTTCATCCTGTGGGTTGTCTTTTCACTTTCTTGATGGTGTCCTTTGAAGTACAAAAAGTTTTAATATTGCTGAAGCCCAATTTATCAATTTTTTTCTTTTGTTGCTTGTGCTTTCGATGTCATATTTAAGAAACTATTGCCTAATCCAAGGTCATGAAGATTTATGTCTGTGTTCTCTTTTCAGAGTTCTATAGTTTTAGCTCTTACATGTAGGTTTTTGGTTCATTTTGAGTTAATTTCTGAGTATGGTGTGAGGTAGGGGTGCAAGCAAAACTCTTCCTTTTGCATGTGGATATCTGGTTGTCTCAGCACTATTTGTCAAAAAAACTGTCCTTGCCCCATTGAATTGTCTTGGTAGCCTTGCAACTGAACACAAATATGAGGGTTTATTTCTGAACTCTCATTCTATTCCATTGATCTCTATGTCTGTCCTTATGCCAATACCACACTGTCTTGATTACTGTAGGTTTGTAGTAATTTTTGAAATTGGATCCTCCAACATTATTCTTATTTTTCAAGATTGTTTTTGTTATTTTGACTCCTTGGAATTTCCATATGAATTTTAGGATCAGCTTGTTAATTTCTGCAAAGAACCAAGTTGAAATTTTTCATGGGGACTGTGTTGAATCTGAAGATCAATTTGAGAGGTATTGCCATCTTAACAATATTAGGTCTTCAGATCCATGAACGTAGGATATTTTTCCATTTATCTAGGTCATTTTTAATTTCTTTCAACAATGTTTTATTAGTTTTCAGAGTATAAGTTTTGTGCTTTTTTTTTTTTTTTGAGACAGGGTCTTGCTCTGTTGCCCCAGCTAGAGTGCAGTGGCATCATCATAGCTTACGGCAGCCTCAAACTCCTGGGCTCAAGTGATCTGCCTGCCTCAGCCTCCTGAGTAGCTGGGACTACAGGTATGCACCACCAAGCCTGGCTAATTTTTTCTATTTTTAGTAGAGACAGGGTCTCGCTTTTGCTCAGGCTAGTCTTGAACTCCTGACCTCAAGTGATCCTTCCACCTCAGCCTCCCAGAGTGCTAGGATTACAGCTGTGAGCCACCATGCCTGGCTTTGTACTTATTTTGTTGAATGCATTCCTAAGCATTTTATTCTCTTTGATGCTAGTGCAAATGAAATTATTTTCTTAATTACATTTTGAGTTTTTTGGTATTGTTTTGTTTTTTTTTGAGATGAGGTCTCACTCTGTCACCCATACTAGACTGCAGTGGCATCATCATAACTCACTACAGCCTCAAACTCCTAAATTCAAGTGATCCTCCCGCCTCAGCCTCCCAAGTAGCTGGGACTACAAGTGCGTGCCACCATGTCTAGCTAATTTAAAAGTTTTTTTGTAGAGATAGGGTCTCACTATGTTGCCCAGGCTGATCTTGAATTCTTGTCCTCAAGCAATCCTCCTGCCTCAGCCTCCCAAAGTGCTGGGATTACAGGTGTGAGCCATTGCACTCAGCCCTTAATTACGTTTTTGAAGTGTTCATTGCAAGTGTGTGGAAACACAATTGATTTTTGTATATTGATCTTGTATTCTGTAAGTTTGCCAAAGTCATTTATTAGTTCTAATATTTTTTAGTGGATTTTCTATGCACAAGATCATGTCATCTGCAAACAGAGATAGTGTTACTTCTTCCTTTGCAATCTGGATGACTTTTTGCCTTCTTGCCTGATTACCCTGGCTGGACCCTCCAGTACAATGTCAGATAGCAGTGATGAGAGTGGACGTCCTTGTCTTGCTCCTGATCTCGGGGGAAGGCACTGAGTCTCCCACCACTGAGTATGATACTGGCTACAGGAAGGCTCTTCCGAGCACTTCCTGAAAGACTGGCTGGTCTCCATCCTCACTTCCAGTTGTGTGCCAGAGGGATTCCTCGTCCCCCATCCCTTGCCAACATAATTACCCCAGCTTTTAGAAGTGAAGGACCCAAGCAGGGGTGTGGCTTGGGTCCTTTGGGAGGGGAAGTGCTGCGTGCCTCGTCACACAGGTGCTCCGCGGCCTATAGTCCAGCTGTCCCCATCCACTGGGGAGTGAGCCTCCAGACACTCGGCCTCCCTTCCCCTGGTGTGGGATGCCTTGAGACACACTAAGAAAAGCCACTGGTGCAGAGGAAGTTCCCGGTTCTGTTCTTGGCTCAGCCACTGACTGAGCCCACTGTGACCGTGGGCAAGTCAATTCCCCCCTCTGGGCCTCAGTTTTCCAGTCTGTGTCGTGGAAAGAGTGGTCCACTTTGGGGTCTCCTGGCTCTGACCATCCCGGCCCTACCCATCCTTAAACGCACAGCGGTTTCAGCTTCCACCAACACCCGGAAGAGCCACCAGAGGGCGCCCCAGACCAGCATTTGGCCTAACTCAGGTGAATGGGGGCCCTGGGGCCGCCAAGGCAGCGTGTATTTTCCAGGAGCCGCTAGCTTTGCTCTCGCAGATTTCCTTGTGGCTCAACCTGCCCAGCCCTCTGCCCCATTCTTCTGGCTGCGCCCTGATCTCCAAGGACGGAGGAATGGAGGCACAACCGTGCAGGCCAGCGCCCTAGCGCCCGTCCCCACCTGCTTTGGGTTGGCTGCCTAAGGCTCAGGCTTCCCAGTGTCAGGGCCAACAGCCCAGAGTTTCTCAGCCTCAGAACGTTTCCGCCATCTCTGGGCCTCTTACTGGTGCCACATCCTTGCATCCTTTCCCCACCAAATTGCCCGACAGGAAGTCCCCAGCCACAGTGGGTGCCTGGCCACCTGGAAGGGGGACATGGCAGCCCTTTGTGGACAGCATGCACTCACACTGGGGGTCCCGGACAGTGTAGTCCGTGAAACCACAGCCTCTGGGACACCTCAAGTGATGGATCCCAGGACCACAGAAGCAGGCATCGCAGATGCCAGGGACCACCAGGAACTTCCTAAAGCACCCAGCACCCCCACCACCTGCCCCCCCAATGCTGATTTTACCCTTCAAATGAAATCAGAACCTTTGCTTTGCAAATTGAGCTCGAAGACAAAGCAGCATCTCTCCCCAAGAGTCTTCATCAGCTCTTTGTGTGGAGGGGTGCTGCCCCCCATGCTCATTTGCTTTGCATTCTAGTTATTTCTGTATGTGTTTTCTCTCCTCTTCCAGACTGGGGTCCCCTTGAAGGGCAGAATGAGTCTCAAATTCATTTCTGTCCCCTCCCTGGTGGCTGGTTCAGGACTCTATCTAGTAGAAGCTCAACAATGTCGACATGGGAATCTAAACCCCACTCTTCCTCCCACTCAAGGGATCCAGGGCTTCTGTGGCTGTGTGGCTTTGGGCAAGTCACTTAGCCTCTCTAATCCTTTCCCCGGAGCGCCAGGCTGCAGCCACCTCATGCACGGAGGTAAGATGTAGGAGGTGCTGGGTGCCAGGCCACACCCGAGTCCCCCAGACCTTGGGCTGCTACTCAAGTCAGACAAGACACTTCGCCGAACACTTCACCTGAATTATCTCCCCTGATCCCCTCAGGGACCCTTCGAGGTAGGCAGCATTACCATCTCCAGCCTTGCAGGCAGGGAAACCGAGGCACGAAACAATTAGCTCCCTGGCCCAAGGTCATGCAGTCCACAAATGATGGTGCTGGGACTTAAACCCAGGTGTCCGTCCTCTGGAACCCGTGCTCTTAGCCACTGAGCCACACCCCTGCCTTGAACGTGGGGCAGCTTTGGGGTCCTTTTGTCTCCCTCATAGGAATCATCGAGGGTCAGAGATCATTTGCTCAATTTTTCCTTTTCAAGACTGGAATACTGAGCCCAGAGAGAGCACTGGTTTTCCTTCTCTCTGTCTCTCTCACATCAGGTTTGGTCAGGGAAATTGCATAATATTTAAAGCCCCCTGTGAGTCTCAGAATCTAAGACTCTATAAGTCATCTTTGGGGCTTTGTTCCTAAGTGCCAATGTCCGTCTTGGCCGTGGGCATGGGCAGGTGTACCTCGCAGGCTCTGTGTCCACCCCCAGCCCAGGCTGGTCTCCGCCAAGCTCCTCCTCCCCAGCACGCGCCTGGGGCCCTTATCAGGAAAGGATTTGGGTTGGTGGGGAGGGTGGGGGAAGTGGCAGGCCCCAGGCTCAGGCAAGGTGGGTGGGAGAGATAGGGAAGTGGGGAGGGGGCCTGGGAGGCTGGGAGGGATGCCCAGAAGCGGCTCAGTGGGGGCTTCGGTCAAGCTCTGTCCACGCCGGCCTGGCCCCTGCCAAGGTTCCAGAGCCTCTCCTGCCTTCCATCCGTGCCAGGCAAGATGCCGGCACCTTTAATTAGCAAGCAGCAGCCTCTCCCCGATTCATCACAGTCACTGTTTAATTAGCCGAGCACAGGCGCCCCCACCCCCAGCTCTCGCCCGAGCTGCCTGCCTCTCACCCAGGCTGCCACCACCTCACAGTGTCCCCTGTCACCCCCAGTCTAATTCTGCTCCCCAGAATGGCGGTGGGGGCAGGCACGCCCCACTGAAACCTCAAGGAGATCTGGGCACTGGTGCTTGTATTCAAGGCACCCAGCAAACATTATTAGGCCTTGAGTCTGCGCCAGGCTGGCGCTGGGTGGAACCTGGACCGGACGGGGGTGGCAGGGTCTGATCCTGTCCTCCCACAGAATAGCTTTTCCCTTGGGGAGGTGCTGGGACGGCTCTCTGGCCTGGCCTTGGGGTGTTGGGGAAAGGCTGTAATAACTCTCCATGTGGCTCCCACCCCACATCCGAAAGGGGACATCATTTCTTCCTCTTCCTCCCTGCGCCAGAGCCCAGCGAGCTCCCCTGAGAAGGCTGCACCTCTGGAGAGGCGCCCATCCTCCGCCCCCTGCCTTCCAGCCGCCAGATCCTGGGGGCGCAGTCCAGGCTATGGCCAAGGGACATGATGAGGGGTCTCAGGCCCTGTCTGTGGGTGCTGTGCAGTGGGGGGCCCAGGACTGAGCCCACAATCTGGGCTGAACCGGCTGCCTCTGTCTCCCAGAAGGAGGGCAGGACTGGGGAGGGAGCCTCCACGCCCTTGCAGGCAGGGCGGGGCCCAGGCTCCACTCGGCCAAGCACTCCCCGTGCGAATCTCATGGCTCTGGGGCCTCCATGTGCTGGGCGCAGAAGGGTGTGACCCACAGGCTCTGGCGCATTTGCCTGTTACCCTGAGGGGCAGTCAGCATGTCATGCGGGGGCAACGGTGCGACAGAACCCATCCACCCTGGCACTGACCCAGATGCAGTGTGCCTCAGTTTCCCCACCGTTGGTAGCTGCCTCAGGGGTCGTCGTGAGGGCTTAATGGCTTACAATGTTTGAAGCACTTAGAGCGGTGCCTGGCGGGGGGGGGGGGTCCTCAGTAATCATTGGCTACTTTTGCCAGTTTTTTCCTTCCTTTTATGCAAGCGCTGTTTCTTGCTGGTGTGAGGGAGTGGACGGTGGGTGAGAGACGACCTCCCTGCTTTTCACTGGCGTTTACCTTCCAGTGGGGCAGGCAGCTGAAAACAAGTAAATAAATCAAGGAAAAATACAATTTCGTCTGAGTAAAGCCCGCAGTCTAATTAATGGTAACGTACCAATGTTAATTTCTTGGTTTTGAGGAATGTACCATGGTTAGAAAATAGGTCGACATTAGAAAAAACTGAATGAAGCATCAACAGGAACTCTCTGTACTATCATTGCAACTTTTCCATTGCAAAATAATTTCTAAAATTATTCCCTAAAAAAAGTTTATCATACAAAAGGACAATTTCAGGCAATGGTAAGTACTGTGAAGAAAATAAGCAGGAGCAAGAAAGAAAATGGGGAGCCAGGGCCATTTTAGATGGGGAGGTCTAGGAGGGCCTCCCGGAGGAGGCAACTGGGAGCAGCAGCTGAGTGAGGGGGAGGAGCCGCCTCCGCAGATCGGGAGGGGCCTGGGGGGAGGAGGGAACGGCAAGTGCAAAGGGCTTGGGATGCTGGAGGTGCCCTGGAAAGGAAGGGCAGCAGTGAGGCCCGAAGCAGCAGTTAGCTCACCTGGCCTGCGTTAGGTGTCGCCAAGGCATCGAGAGAAGTACAGTGGTGGACAGGACCCCCTCTGAGCCTGGGGGCGGGGGAAGGTGGACACCCCCTGCTGTGGCACTAGGGCTGGGACACTAACCACCGGGCTTCAGGGCAGGGCAGAGAGCCCGGGAAGGAGCTGGAGTGCACCAGGGTCCTGTCCCCAGACATTGCTGCCTAACCCTAACCCTAACCCAAGCAGTCCCCTACCCATGCAGACATTTTGCCGTTTCAGAGGACGAGAGGGAGGAGGGAGACTGGGTAGGTGCTGTGTCTTGCACTTTGTAGCATGAGCTCTGCAGTTTAATCCTGACAGTCACCCTGGGGGAGGCGCCGGCATCTGCACTTACAGGGGGACGGTGGAGGGCAGAGATCGCCCCAGGAGCGTCTTGCGGTGAATGACTGACTGGGCCTGCCTGGAAGGAGAGGCCCTCCTGGCCCTGGAGGCCACGCTGGGTCTTGCTGGGGAACGTGGACCGGGTGTGGCTGTGGAGGGGTGGGCCAGGCAGGCCACAGGGGCTGGCCCGGACACCCAAGGCAGAGGGCCTCCGGCCGGCATGAGACCATGTATCAGGCCAAAGAGCACCTCTGCGCACTAATTATGTAATCAGCTTTGGTAATAGTAATAATACGCGTGTGTAATACGACATTCTGAAGGTTCCAGACAACATGTGGGGACAAGTTAGGGTCTCCTACCCTTTCCTCCCCTCAATCCAGTTTCCTTCCCCTGTGATGACCTCTGGGACCTGTGTCTTGTGCTTCCTTCTAGAGCCAGTCTAGACAGCCCCGCCTTGACCACGACAACAGCAAACAGTCGGCGCAGGCCTGCCAGGCATCTCCTGCCAGGAAGCCTGAGTTGCACAGTGTAGACCTCATGCCAGTCCTTGCCGTGTGGATATTAAGCGCTCTGTTTTAAACCGGAGTGAACAGAGGCACAGGCAGGTTAAGTCACTTACTGAAAGCCACACAGCTAACACAGAATTTGAATTCAGGGACTCTTTGAAGGCATTGTGTAGATGGGGACACTGAGGCTCAGAGAGGTTGAGTAACCAACTCCAGGTTACCCAGCAAGGAGCTGAGGAGTCAGGACTCCAGAGCCCTTGCCCCTGGTCATTCTACTGTAGTGGGAGAAAGGACCCCAGCTCCAGAATCAGCCAGACCCAGATGCGAAGCCCACCACCACCTTGCTGTGTGGCCTTGGGCAAGTCACTGCTCCTCTCTGCAACATGGATGCCCCCAAAAAGGGACAGCGATAAGAAAGCTGGCTTCTCAGAGGGATGGAGATGAGCAAGACGTGTGGGGCAGCCTTGCAGTGGTTGGTGCTGGGGACATTGCTCTCCCACCTCTCCGGTGGCCACTCCCGGCGATGGGCGGGAGGAACGCTCCACGGAGTGGTGAGGGGCCTCACGGGAGGGCAGTGGGGGGCCTCCCTGCTCACGGCCACTCAGCCGCTCGGTGTGCTGACCCAGCAATTCTGGGAAGTCAGGGTCGTGGTGACTCAGTTTGGGAGAATATTCCACGGGGAGGGCCAGGGCCGTCCAAGAGAGGAAGGTGGCTCCTGGAGGTTTGCATGACGGTCTGGGCGCCAGGGACTAAAAGGTCGGTGGGCAGGAGGCTGCGCCTGGCAGCGACCAGGAATGACCCCAGGGTTTGGACAACGAGATAAGCAGCCCGGCCTGGTGCCCGCTCAGGCTGGTCCCCGGGGATGGGGGTGGGGGGTCTTCCCATTGGCAGGGGCACTTCAGGCTGGTGGGCATGCTCAGAAAACTGCTTTATCTACCTGCCTCCCTGCCCCTCCAAAGGATGATCAAATTGTTTGGGCTGAAACAGCCAGATTCTCCAGGACATTGATCAACAAACCCAAGTTCTGCCAGTTTCTTCATCTCCAGCGTGGGCCAGCCTGCTGGGGGCCAGACCATGTTAGCCTCCCATCCAGTCCCCTTCCTCATACCCCAGTCCCTGAGAGCTGCCACTAGTGATGGGAAGGGGCTGGGGCAGCAGGTGTGGCACAGGGCCTTGGGGCATTTGCTGGAGACCTCGGCCAGGCTGCAGCAGAATAGTGCAGTGCCTTGGGGGGCGCTGGGGCTGGCAGGGCAGAACCAATCTCAGAGTTTGAATTCCTGCCCTGCTCTGCGTCCTTGGGCAAGTGAATGTACCGTTGTGAACCTCAGTTTCTCCATCCGTGAAATGGGATCATTATCAGAATTCATTGAGATCTCATCATACGGATAGAGTTTCTTATATAACGCATGACATGTAGTTGGTGCTCAATAAATGTCACTCTCCTCCATTGACTAGCTGATGAATCTCATTTTCCAAATCTCACAGGGCCTAGGGAAGAAATTTGGCACTTGTCCTGTGTTCAAGAGGCCACCGTCTGGGAGATGTCATCTGGTTGCCGAGTGTTAGAATTGCTGAGACATTTACAGGGAGATGTGAGAGGCTATTTGGAAGTGGCACTTTCCCAGTCCATCAGGCGCGTGGTCCTAGGGCCTCCTCTGCAGGTGGTGCCAGGAGACTCCTGATCCTCCGACATGCCTCCCCTGTCTGAGGCCGGGCTGGCTCAACCCACACGGCTTCTTTTTGGCAGCTCCTTTTTCTAGAAGACTCCTCACAGATGCCGCCTTCTGTCCTGACAACCTTCTGGGAGTTCTTTCTGGTCTGTGGGAGCCAGTGGCAGCTGCGTGGGGTGGGAAGGGAGCTGGGCCAGTCCCAGCTGGATGGCCGTGGACGCAGGGTGTCCCCGAGGTGGCCTTCCTGCTCTGAGCCTCTCCGGTCTCTGGAGCAGAGTCAAAGCCCCCCACGGGGGCATGACCCTCTCATGGTGGTGAGTGTGGAAGTGTTTTAAAACCTGGAAGGTGCTTCTCAGGTGTGAGGATGATGATTTTGAGAGGATGATGATTTTTAGCAAATCTTCCCATCTTTTCTGTGAGTCACAGAAGCTGCAAGCCAGAAATGACCTTGACCATCAGTGCTTTGCCAGGAGGATGTTACATTGATAATGGGCAGAGAAGAGTTCATCATCAAATAAATTTTCCAAACGCCAAGGTAAACATCCACCAGGTTTCTTCCCTGCAGGGTTTCTCAGAGCCTCTCATGGGAGTGTGTCAGGTCCCAAGAGGCAGCTTGATCTACGTAGCACCCAGGCCTATTTGATGACATGTCCCTTCTCATTGTCCTGGAGTGTCTCCTGAGTTGGAGGTCTATGGAACGCACTCTGGGAGATGCCAAAATAGTCTAACTCTTCCCTAACTCCCCCGCCACACACACACATATCCCAGCTGGAAGAGTCTGGGGAATATGGGAGAATCCGGGGCCCAAAG